GATCTTAGGCCCAAGGCCCAACCCCCATGGGCTTTGGGCCCCCCCAAAACCCAATTTCATGCATAAGCACAGTCTTGGCGTTCATAAACCTGATGATTAATGCCTGTTTTTCACGCATGTTCCAGTCTGTAAGCCCATACCTCGGGCCGACGTTTTACCATGCCTGATCTGGGGGTTCAACTCCCCCAAGAATCAAGATATCAAGATTCAACCGCGGCGACCTGGTAATCAAGATCATGGATAAAAGCAGCTACACTAGGCACTACAGCTTACTAAAATTACCCAAAAAAACTACAATTTCACCAAGTTTTCGTAGTATTCAAGCACTTAGAGAATTACTAAGTGTCAATATGCATATATATATATCTCATCTAAACAGTAGTAGATACATCTTTCTGTTGAACTATCAATTTAAGGGTCAAATCTATGAATTGTAGGTTTACAGCATTGAATCTTATACCAAAAGACAGCCAATCTCTTACTCTCGACGTCTGCTTTTTACAGAACCGTGATATTCTAGCTATTCCGGAGGTAAGAGAGGTTTGAAGATATCTCATGAGCCATGGGGTGAAATGTTTTGGGCGAACAAAGTATAAAATGGGCGGGGAGATGGGTTATCTATGGGCTTCCTTGGGCTTTAGATGGGCCGAATCCACTTAATATGCATTATCTAGCCAATGAGATGCCAGTATTATAACCCTCCGTTTCAATGTCGACTGGCACTATGGAGTATGATCCTCTGTTTACATCCTCTGTTTGCCTACCGCGTCGGCAGTTCTCTCACCAAGAAGGTAGGTCAGTTCTTCCTCCCTGACCCTGATTCCCCTGAAGCCATTGCCCTAAAGCCATTCATTCAACTCTGAATCCATTGACCGTCACTGATTATGTCGCAAAGCCAGGAGTTTAGATCCTCTCAGTTGAGTCTATTCGACTCTGAGCCAGACGACTTGTCTTTTGCTACGCCTTCTGTTTGCCCAGCTACCCCGTCTACCTCTCGGCAGGTTGACAGCTTCTCGTCTCGGCAGGTTGACAACTTCTCGTTCGTTCAGCCGTCTGTTCCTTCGTCTGTCGCCCTAGATCCTCTTGAACGCTTCCAACGTGTCGGTCCTGGCAGAGGCCAGTATTTCCTTTACGACGCGATGCTCCACAACGATTGGGCCGACTGGTGGCTGCAGACTGACTACGGATCTCGGAGCAAGATCAACTGGGACTCGCAGCATGGTCGGGCGAAGATCTGGAAGGAATTTGACCAAGTCGCGCACTCTGTTCATGGTACCGCAAAGGTTATGTGTAAGAACTGCTCTGCAATTCTTGAACACCCTTACGCTACTAGGAAGGAGAGGGCTGGACAAGGTGAGAGCTCGAGGAAGGATAGTCGTCATGGTACGACAACGATGATTCGCCATGTCAATACTTCTTCCTGTCAAAGGGCTGCAAGTGGACGCCGGCAGAGGGATGGAATAACTAGGTTTCTTCAAACGGTATGTAAAGACGTATCATCCCTTAAGAATCAACACTACTCACTAGTATTTGACTAGGGCGATACGACCGAAGAACCTTTCTCGCAAGAGGCATGGGATAATGAAACCCTACGATTCATCACAATCAACCGGCTTCCGTTTAATCTCGTCGAGAATGCAACCTTCCGTCGCCTTATTTCGAGAGCTCAATCCGCCCCAAGCCCCCCGAACATTCCTTCCGCTGATACAGTTCGACGTCGGCTATCTGCTTGTGTCAAAGATCGACAACAAGATACACTTAGGATGCTTCCAGAGCATGCGAAGATCTCAGTTGCATTAGACTGTTGGACATCTCCATTTGGACACGCATTTATGGCTATCACTGGCTATTTTATCGACGCCGACTGGGTCTACCGCGAGGTGCTGCTCGGTTTCAAACCCCTTCATGGGACGCATTCGGGTGCAAACCTAAGTGCTGTGCTTATGAAGACGCTCACTGAGTACGGTATTAAGCACCGAGTCTTTGGATTGACCACTGACAACGCATCAAATAACAAGACTTTGGTTGATACTCTTCAACAGTCTTTGCCTAATGATATCAATGTTATCCGGATCCCCTGTCTTGCCCATGTGATCCAATTGAGTTTGAACCAACTGCTTAATCGTTTAAAAGCAGTCCCACTGAATGATGCCACTGAGATATGGACAGACAGTCAATTCACCCTTACAAAGTTAAACGCGGCATCTAAGAAGCAAGATATCTCGCATACCTTAGAAAAGGTACGGTATCTTGCTCTTTATATCCGCGGGAGCTCTCAGCGTCGGGACTCCTTCATTGCTATCCAACCCCCAGGGCAAGGGCTTATGCCGATCCAGGATGTCAGAACTCGATGGAATTCAACGTTTCTGATGCTACGCCGGGCAAAAAGACTCCGCGTCTTCATCATAAAGTACTGTGATCAGTTTAACTGCAAAGACTTCGCACTTAATGATGATCAATGGCGCCAAATTGACTACCTTCTATATCTCACTAAGCCGTTCTTTGATTTTACCCTTGCCCTTTCAAAGAGCCGAGAGGTGACATCGCATCTTGTCTTTCTGATCTACAGTAGGCTCTTTGAGCATCTTGAGAAATCAATGACGCAGCTACGGCGAAAGAGGGTCCTTTGGAAACAGCAGATACTCAGCTCTCTCGAAGCTAGCCATGCTAAATTACGTGACTACTACAAAGAGACTGATACAATGCGCGGGCATATCTATGCGGTTTGTACGATGCTATCACCAGATAGTAGATTCCAGTTCTTTCTTTCTGACGACTGGGTGGATGCCAAAGAACTCCGTGATCAGTATCGAGTAGCGTTCCGAGATGCCCTCACTCATATCCAGGAACGTCTTACTAGTGCCCAAGGCCCACAAGGGCCTTCCTCTGGATCGGCATCAAGATCACTGCTTCGTAACCTGGCTCGAAAACAGAAGCCTCACTCTAAATCAACGCTAGGCCCAGTCATGGATGATGAGATGACGCAGTATCTTGACGGTAGTAAGTTGAACTATTCTATTCATATCGTGGCCATCTCTATATTCATCTCCATAACTATCTCCATATTTATCTCTATAGCTATCTCTCCACTTGATACTAATTTCATATAGATGTGACTGATTCAGAACCGCTCTCCTTTTGGAGAGAGAATCAATACCGTTTTCCAGCTATTGCTGCACTTGCAAGGGATGTCCTTGCAATCCCCGCAACGGGCGCTGGGGTAGAACGTCTCTTCAACACTGCACGAGATATCTGCCACTATCGCCGCGGTCAACTGAATTCTGATACTATTGAAGAGCTGATGCTATTCCTCTGCACATCAAGGTTTGACCTTGATGTCCAGGAGGCAAAGGAGGTAGCAGAAGACCTCTTATCTGATGAGATTGACGTGTTGAGAGAACAAAGTGTTGAGAAACCGAATGATGTCGATGCTGAAGAGATTAGTGACACCGAAGAGCAGGGTGATGGACCTGGTTCTGGGTCTGGGGATCTGATCGATGTTGACGATGACGATGACGATGGGGTTGACGATGACGATGCTACTATCAGATCCACTGCTGCACCGTCTCAGGTACGGACATCGGGGAGGAAGAGGAAGCATGTTGAGGATGATTTGTATGAACGTTATTAGATCCATGTAGATAGTTTAACCTCCACTAATATCTAATCGATCGATCTCGTCAGTTGATCTTATCAATCTCATTAAACAGTGAATTCAGTCGATTCTCATGAGAACTCAGTCAATTGGGGCCTCAGACGGTAATTTGAATACTCAAAAATACTAGGAAATTCTACATCACTTATGCAAATGCCAAGAATTGGCATGTTTGCACTGTTTGGGGCCCAATGGGCCCCCCCCAAAAGCCTCATGGGCCCTTACTATAGGCCCACGGCCCATCGGTGGGCCCGAGAATTGGGCCCAAACCCAACCCATTTGGGGGTTGGGCTGGGTTGGGCTTTGGGCTTTATGGGCTCTGCGGAAGTCTAACTTAGTGGGAAGAATTGCCAATGACATGATAGATTCTCGACGACAAAGTCTGTCACGGGAGCCTGATCAGGAGGGAAGAGGTTGGGAAAAATATGTAAAAGGTGTATTGTCTAATTTTGAAAGCAAGGCTGCCTTATTTGGACAGTTATATACAGCAAAATCCTGCAGAGTCGCAATTCGGCTGGTGACCTTGATGAGTCAAGACGCGTGGACATCCGTCAAGCCTTTCCCACTTTGCGACTAGTGTACTACGGCAGTCTGCCATCAACTTAAGTCACGTGGCCTATCATAGTCCACTGGACTGCAGGTTCTCTTCGTTAGACAGGAATCTCTTCTTCATAATCTAGCTGAATCAGCTGATCCTCAGTAGCCTTTCCTTTTCCCAACACTCGTAAGTTATATATAGAGTTTCCGAACTTCGTCAGGATAAGCGAATTTGCAGTGCCAGATGACCGGATTCGTTTGAGAACTGGATGGCTGCAAAATGCTTTGCAGGTCGCATGCCGGACTATCCAGATTATTTGAAATCCACCCCTAGAATTTCCTTCACCCAAGTTCACGATATCATCGTATGCTCATCTAATTCCCTCACGTAAAGTGCGTGTCATCACGTGCTGCCGTTTATTTTTGTTTAAAAAATGGCAGTATTTATGTCATCAACTAACGAGGGAACGACCACGCTAACATTGTGAAATACCCGGCCATATTGTTTTTCTGGGGGTTTGAGGTCAATTATATTTACACCATTATTGGATAACTGGACGAGCTGGAGAAAGCAAAGCAACACAAGAAACTTTGGAGGGTCAGGAATTCTGGTAGGCAATGTGACGGCCGGTTAGTGGTAAGCTTACCAATCCGTTTCGTCTTACCCCTTTTTCTCTCCCTCCTGCGCCTATTTAAATGATCTGGTCGCATAAATCCGGGTCCTTTGCAAAAGACTTTTTTTACCTAGCCAAGCTTGGTGGCTACGTTTTCGCTTCTTGTGCCCGCGATAACCGTCAGCTCCTTAGAAATGACTGAGGCGGCGGAATTGCTCTTACGGGGACAGACCGTCACCCGCTCTGTCCTTCTTATGAAACCGGAAACACCGAGCTCGAGAGAGCTACGTGCCAAACTGCGCGCTTCTAAGTTCTACTTTGAGAAATTCCTAAAAAATTTGCAAACAAGTTCGGACGATGATCGACAAGTCCTCGAGAATATTATTATCAGCCAGTGTGAAGTTGTTGTCAGAAGGTTAGAGAGCAAACTGGAAAACGCCAGCGAGCCTGAAGGGTACATACACAGTTTGTGGCAATATCCCTTTTTCAGTGACCGGAATTCATGGGAAAGCTTAACAGAAGACCTCGAAAGAGCCGTTGCCGCTGCAGGTTTTCACTTTTATTACAAGTTACACGAACGTTCTGATCAACAACTTAAGCAAACGCTTGAGATGATCGCCCGACAGGATAGAACAGAAGCGGTGCGACGTTGGCTTTTGTCTCCTGAAGAACCCGCCATCTTTTGGCACGCAATGAATGGACGAGACATCGTTAAAACGGGACGGTGGTTTATTAAGAGCAAACAATTTGGCGATTGGTTGACAGAGAACGGTTCTTTTCTTTTGGTTCAGGGGCCCGAAGGATGCGGCAAATCTTTCCTTTGTGCTACGGCTCTCGAACATGTGGAACAGCAACACAGAGGTGGACGAAGTTTTTTGCAAATTGGAGTTGCCTCTTTCTTCTTCGATGACAACCCAAAGCAGGGACAAAGGCAAGATGAAGCCGATATGCTACGTTCGCTGCTCTGGCAGCTTTCCGGCCAGTTGGGTGACGGGCATAGGCACCTACATGAGTGTCTGCGTGATTCAAGCTTCACAAAAGATTCACTGTGCCGTTTCCTGCTTGAAATCGTCAAAATGTTCGGTCGGACGTTCATTCTGATAGACGGCTTGGGTGTAGCCACAAGCACTAAAGTGTCAACGGTCATCGAACAAATGCGTGAATCTTGCCCATCTCTTCATCTTTTGGTCACAAGTCGTGATGTTCCCGAGGTGTATGAATACTTCAACGCCGAACAGAATGAAACCGTCGCTATGAGCAATCAAGAAGGGGTTCAATGCGACATTTCTAGCTGGGTTACCCAACAACTTGAGAGTCACGTTATCTTAGGGCGTTACAACGATAAACATGGCGAAATTCGTTCTGCCATAACCGAACGTGCCCAATATTGGTAAGTGTTTCTCGAAAACTTCTCTTACAAAATATTAATCGATATGATTCCTAGCTTCCGCTATGCGGCGTACATGTTTCGTCATATTGGAAAAGCCGGTAGTAAGAGCCAGTTAAACTCTATACTATCAACCATATCCAAATTGCCTTGTTCTTTGGATGCTGCACGCAAGGGCGATCCTGGGGGGTTCGAAGAAATGGCGAAGAGCTTGGGTACTTAGAACCTTCACCTTTAGCATAATCTGGGATTCATCTTCCCTACATGCATGTACGGTTAGAATACAAGTGTCGCCCAACTAAGATTCTCGGCTGAGTTGAATCTTCGCAATGTATGTCAACTTTGTTCATGTTTTATTGGTGTAGATAATATGGAGTGAACTTAAGAGTTTAGATCCAAGGCTAGCGCCCGCCTAGGCTGCGGCATGCCTTGCAAAGTTGGATATCAATTGCATATTCCAGCGTCCAAGTCCAAACTGCCATTATTTCTCAATATTCAACCGACATCTAGCTAGACCGGGCATCCTATGTTGTTGGCCTCTTCTTTGCGATCGGATGGATATCCGAGCTAAACTCGGGTCGGAGTATAGGTTGATGAATAGTTGAAAGTGACTGTTTGGCAGCTGGCAGCCGGGACCAAATGGCTGTCTCGGCTTGACAAACTTCGGCGGCAACCTAGATGACTGGCCAGGCGAACGCTGCATCTTGATGCATGCATCTACCTTGGCTAATTGTGCTGCCAAAGAGGGGGCCACTTCGAAATGGGCATTATTGCGTTAGATCCATGTGTCTTCCGGGCATATATCTGATTACATACCATTTAGGGTTGTTGGTCAGCCAAGATTTTATGCATGCCGTGTCCTGTTATACGTCTGCCTCTACACAGACTGTAGTTTGGACGTGTCCGAGTAAGATACACAATCAGAAGTCCTCTCGCGGGTGATTCGACGCTAGCCAAAAAAAAAAAACAAAAGGCCGCCATATTTGAAGATTTACGTAATACGCAAACGTATTTCACATGCGAGCGAGCTGCGCACACAAACCGAGCTGCGCAGCTGAAACACTATACTCACATCTCAACAACCAACGTCTGTTTATTATGTTTTTAAAATGCCGACAGCCATTGATAAGTATTTTTGGTAGTATATATCAATTTTGAATAAATCGAAAGAGTGCATTGTGATGGTATCAAAATTACATCTTTAAAGCCTCTAAATATACAACTATATATCTCTATCATCAAGTTCTTAAATTTCCTGAAGCTTCCTCAATTGACAAAATAGTATATAATATGCATTAGACCACAAGGAAAAGCTCATATAGACATGTATTCTTAGGATATCCAGTTGTAATTTATCGCATTTAGTATGTGTATCGGACTGCGCAGCTCGCTTGTAGGCTTCCGCACGACCCAAAACCCAACCCAGTCTGGGTTGGGTCTGGGTTTTACTGGGTCGTGCGGAAGACTACTCGCTTGTGTGCACAAAGCTCGCATGTGAAATACGTTTCTGAGTTAACATATTTCACAAGCGAGCCGCCCACCCCATCCAAAACGCGTCCAGGAATTAGCACTTAGTCAATTCAACCACCCACCATGCCACCAATTCGCTCCCAAAGCTCTAGAAAATCCACAGAGCAAGAGGGTAGGATCTTACTAGCTATCCAGGCTTTTAAGAATCAAGCAATCTCTTCAATTCGTGAACTGGCACGCCTTTTAATATACCGCGTACAACTTTACGCGACCGCCTCTCCGGCCATACTCAACGAAGTACTACACGCGCCAATTCACATAAATTGACTGCAATTAAAGAGGAATCACTTCAAAAATGGATACTCTCTATGAATTCTCGTGGATCAGCCCCCGGCCTTCTACCGTCCGAGAGATGGCTAATCTACTTCTTTAACAACGTGAAACCACCCCGGTTACTTCGGTCGGCGAAAACTGGATGACGAATTTTGTTAAAAGGCACCCTCTCCTCCCCTCCCGATTTTCGAAACGGTATAACTACGAGCGCGCGAAGTGTGAAGACCCGAGAATCATTAGGGAGTGGTTTGATTTGGTTCAAAAAACGATCCTTCAATTTGGAATTGACCCTGATGATATCTATAACTTTGACGAGACTGGTTTTGCTATGGGATTGATACCAACTACGAAGGTAATCACAAAGAGAGCACTTTTACAACAGGATAATCGAGAATGGGTGACGGTGATTGAGTGTACGGGTGCGTCTGGCTGGGTGCTTCCTCCGTGTGTGATTTTTAAAGGAAAGGTCTTCCTTAAATCCTGGTTCGATGGCCTTCCGGAAGATTGGCGCTTTGAAGTAAGCCCTAATGGTTGGACATTTAATGAAATTGGACTTTGCTGGCTTGAAAAGCTCTTTATTACTAATACTTCTTCACGCACGAAGAGGGGGGTATCGGCTTTTAATACTTGACGGGCATGGAAGTCATTTAACGCCGAAATTTGATGAAATTTGCGAGAAAAATAAGGCGATACCGATTTGTATGCCTGCACATTCATCCATTCTTTTACGACCTCTCGATGTTGGCTGTTTTGCGGTCTTAAAACGGTCCTACGGTCAGACAGTTGAAACGAAGATGCGGAACGGGATCCACTCTATCGACAAACTTGACTTCATTGACGCATACCCAGAAGCACGAATTGAAGCTTTTAAACGGGGCAATTAGAAATAGCTTCAAAGCTACCGGTTTAGTACCTTTCCACCCGATCGGGTGATCTTAAAGTTGAATATTCAGCTTCGAACTCCAACCCCCCCCCCCCCCCCTAAGCCGGGGGAGCGAATCAATTCGAAATTTTACAGCATCAATATTCCTGGCTTTCAGGTAGGATATAATGTTCCAACGAGCAGATTCCGCATGAATGGGATCCCAAGTGGGCAGCGCGAGCCCCCTGATTCCCCTACCCTTCAATCTTCCACCCCTAGGAGCTCCTTATCAGATGAAGGGGATGGCATTAATTCTGGACCTACGGACAATAATATTCTGAGTTCTTGTCTGGAAGATACTCGGCGCAAAATTTCTGAGTTGCAAGCTGTTGTCGGCCAAAACCCAGCGCATCTTGATCTAACAACATGCCTCAATCGACTTTCTTCTCAGATAAAAGACATCCAAGACTGGAAAAGCTTGATTGGCAAGGATATCGAGAGTGATTATCTAGCGCTCCTTTACCTCTTCATGTGGACAAGTGACAGAGTGGAACACTTCATAACGCAAGAGCAAGAGCATGTTACGCCTCTTCATGAGCTTGTGACCTGCCTTCTAGGCCTCGATTTTGCACATAAGGCATTAGAGAGGTATATAATAGAGCTTTTGTCAGGTTCCGATGCAGAAACTAACTAATTGGATATTTAGTGTTCGAGACTGCAAACCGCAAGACAAGCTCACAGCGGTTTCCGGAGTATATCATGAGAGCCAGGCGAGAGTCGAGAAGGCTCAGCAAAGTAAAGGATTCTGGACTATGGGGCCAAGGGCTGTCTTGTTAGATGCTTAGTTGTTTAAGCGAGATAGTTCGGAGGTCCATCTAAATACTCGGAATTTTTCCCTAGGAGCATTTCCGTACCTGAGCAGTAAAAGCTAACGTAGTAACTGAACTCAATTCGGAATATGGAAAAAGTTCAACGAGACAGAAGCCACATATCCAAAAAAAGTATGGAAAGCCAGCTGCAATAATCCTCCTGTGCATTTCAGGAAGGATAGAGCGAAGTATGGAAGGGAAATGAAAGGGCCTCGACAATAATGGGAGCCGTGTCAGCCACGTAGAAGCCGCACGAAAGAAGGTGTGCATCCACAATGGTATTATCATTGAAAGCCTGAATTCATGTTTATGACGAAGTGTCTGGTACTCCTGATACACTTGCTGAAAAAAGTATTGGTCGTTGGTTAAAGAACCGACTTCAACATGGACCAACACAGTTGAGTTCTTCGTGTTCATACACAAGAGAACGAATTGAGGATCCTGATTCTGGAAATTTGTGCTGCCAGCTTCGGTATCCTCAGGCTGAGAAGATAGAGATGACCAACGATGTGGGACCCTCGGGTTTTCCGCATTTCGGCTGGGCAGGCTTGAGCTCAAGCTGAGATTCAAATGTGCCTGAGGTGGGGGTTCTAGTCGACTTGAACCAGGTAAAATCTGTGTGTGACTACTAACAGCAGCGACGCTCTTAAGGAGTCTTCGCCGGAACCTCTCAGTCCCACCGGCCGACAGCTCTCTAACATCGAGATATGAAAGTTCTCCACAGCCCTAGAACAATATCAACGCGGGTTTCAGTGTGAAACGCAAGAGAACTCACGCATGCGTACGAAATACGTTGATAGCCGGCTGCTGGTGGGGCGTAGATGTTCATAAACCGAAGCCACCATGATGATAATATTGTCATTTCCCCTGTCTGTGTAGAATCTACTGTAACTTTCGCCGTGGGACTGTCACTGCTTTCCAGGGGTTGGATAGAGTCGTCAGTATCTATTTCCAACGGCCTGGGTTCGGCAACATGGTTTAGTCGGCAATCTATAACTCATATTAATAAAATTGCAGAGCAATCGTTGATGAATTGATATCTAACGTTGTGCAGTTTTTAGGTCTGAAGGATTGCAGTTTTCGTGGATTGCAAGAGACTCCTCAATTTTTTCGCTCAGACCGTTGCGGCTAACCCTCCTTTTGACTTCCGTGCATTCTTGAAATCCTTGATGTAGGCCGGGGGACACATTCGTTGATACCATGAACTCTTTCACCTCTTCAAGGGTGCCAGTTGAGTTTTGCAGATAATTCTCTGAAATAGGCGAATCGCTATCCGCGGACAATTCGTCGGCATCAGAATCAGAATTCGGACGACCTCCTGTCTGCGAGTTTTCTTCTTTGATAGCCAGTAACCCCACTTTCGGCTGTTCACCACTATCAATAACCTTATTTTTGGGCGCCTTATTGCGATCTTCCGTCACATTGTTGCCGTCTTCTTTGCACAGAATTGATCCAATGTTCAACTTCATATCACGAGGTCTCCATCCATTGTCCAACGACTGTCTGATTTCCCCTCGCCAAACATCAGCGTATGCATCTTTCCAGCTCTCGATAAAATCCTCTGCTTCTTTCTTGGTGTTAAAACGCTCATGGCACGCAATGGTTCCTTTGCTCGCTTTTTCAGCCTCACTATTCCTGTGAGTGGACAGGTTCTAGTCATTGAAAGAAGGAGACTTACTCCCAATGAGT